AAGGAGAAGGGGACGACAGAGGACGAGATGGTTGTACAGTGTTCTCGAAGCTACCAACATGAGTTTGACCAAACTGCGGGAAGCAGTGGAAGACAGGAGTGCCTGGCGTGCTCTGGTCCATGGGGTCACAAAGAGTCGGACACGACTAAACGACTAAATGACAAAAACAATGTAATAAGTAAGCTAATGTTTGGATACAAGTTTTATTACTGCCAGGCCATCGGAACCTGGGCTTGTGGTTTGTTTGGGAAGCAAGAAACCATGGGCCCAGGTTCAGACAACACGACAAACCAAGGGTTATGTTTGTTGCTTCCAGTGATGGCAGGAGCAAGGGAGAAGTGAAGAGGAAACTTTTGAGCAGTATGCACAGCCACACTGCTCATTCACATGGAATCACATCAGAATACTGTGTCATTCCCATGTCTGTATCATAGATATGGTATGGATGCAAAGAATATGACTGTCCATCCCCTAAAAATGAAAAAAAAATTGATCCCACCGGGGAAAGCTTCTAGCCATTCATTTGCATATTTGCCAAGTGAAAGAAAAAGCAATGTTACTTATAGAGCGAAAAATACGGTAAACTGTAAATTGGTCCTGATACTGTGAGGTCAGAGAAAGAATGCAGGTCCTGCTAGCGCAGAAGAAATGCACAGATTACATTTAATATTTATTATCACCATCCAAAGAGGGGCATCACAGGCAATACTGAAAGTTCAACAAACAATACCAGAAAGAAAATCTAAGAAATTCTATTTACCAGTTCTATCGCCTTGGCACTAGGAATCAAGTTCAGACCTTGAAAACAGGCAAGTTGTCACCTTGGGCTTTGCTACTTACTTCCCTTGCCAACAATGGCTACTGCTTTTTTTTCTTGGTACCAAAAAGATGGGACACTGCATCCAAACCTATTGGATGACACAATATAACTTGGTGCACATCTCCTTGAGGAATTATCACGCACTGAACAATCCTACTATTTATTTATTTAGAGCTTCTGCAAACTTCACATTCTCAGCACTTGGATGTCTGACTTGCCTGGCTCCAGCAAATAATGAGTAATCAAAATCTAAGGGCAAATGTGAAACCTGCAACTCTTGATCCAGAAGCATGCAGCTTGCTGAAGGAGTATCAGGAGGAGGAATGAAATGGCATATTCTGTTTTAAATGAGAGCTTTTCCATGGGAAGAAGTATTTCTATTCCAGAATCCTCAGATTTAATAAGTGATTGAAGAGTACTTCAGACCATCAGTAAGCACTCTAAACAGCCTAATTTTTTTAAAACAAAATTCTCAAGGTCTAGGAGAAAGCACATAGAATTAATAAAACATATAGTATAAACCTATGCAGAGTTAGGCTCAGGACAACAGTCAGTCTGATTTGGTAGTCTCCACTACTCAATCCAGAATAATTTGTGATTTTAAAAAAAACTGACCTGGGGGAGGGGAATGGGCGGCCTGGACACTTCTTTCCCTTAACCTGGATAGGTCAATTCATCAGTCCAAAAAGCATTTAAGCATATTTGGTTATACTGTTATAGCATATCTAACCAGCATGTGACACTGGACTGTATCTGACTGTCATATTCCAAACAGAGCCACTAAAATCAATGGGTCTACCATGGCTTAGTCAGATGCAACCCCCTGAATTCAGTGATAAGCCCAATTGATTCCACACACAAAAAGGAGTGCTTTTGAATATGCTTTCAACCCTAGGACAAGCCATGTCACTATCCTTGGAATTAATAAATAACTTCCCGCTGTACAGATGATTACCAGACCTCAGTGATTCTGCCAGGTGTTAAGTGTTTCAGCATCCCTTTAAAATCAAGGTTATTTAAATAAGAATACATAACTATCAGTTTCTTCCTAGTCAACAACTATGTGCATATGTAAAAGATCAGCAACTCATTCTTTCCTTTCCTGATTCCATCTTCACCCAGTCCAGACTTTAGCTATAATTGACAACAGTAACTTTCCATTCTTATGATATAACAAAATCAAACTTCTTCTTTGCTGACAATGAGTTGTCACATTCATTTCCATATTGTTTGCATCCATTCCTTGTTATTGAGTCAAAATGTATATTGTAAGCTATTCAGGAGTTTTTATTTTTGCTTACTTTTTAGAGTGCATTTATAGGAGTAGGAACCAAATGCTGCGCCTGAAAACATTAGAGTCTATCTCACCACCTGTAGTCAAACACCACATTTGGCGTGGCAGCAAATAAGGAGTAAGATTACCAACTCTTAGCTTGCCTTCCTGTTGTTAGATTACTAACAATACAAACCAATTTCCTTTTATAACCAACACATGGCAACAGGTAAGTATGATTTCAAGAGTTCTAAATATTCAATGCCAATAATACACAGGGCAATCCAAACCTCCTATCTGCCATACTAGAGGGGTTTTGGATGGGGCAGAGATGCTCCTCTTCCAACCTCCTTTGGCACCCCAAAGCACCTGCCCAGGTGGTGGGAGAAGCTATCACTTGTGAAATCTCTGCCAGCAGTTATCAATGGAAATTCCCAATACTGGGCATTTCAGGGGGAGTGGCTACACCAGCACCTGATTCCATCACATCCTAGCAGGAGCAAGCTGGTGGTAGCCACACTATCATTCACCACCACTGCTAGTCAGGGGTTAAGATAGTCATTATTGCAATCTAATTTATTACCCTAAAATAAGTAGTCTATCATCCAACTTTTGACTGCTCTGGAAAATATTACATCTCCACACTAACAAAGAGGCAACCTATTCCTTGCTGACGGATTCTTGTAGGTAATATTCCTGTGCACTCTGCATAAATAGTATATTTACTCCAATTACTTGGTAGTTGCCTACTCCACTGACTGTCAGTAGGGATTAATTCTAAAGCAACGTCTTTCCTCCAGAGAAAACTGGTGAAAAAATGTTATGTCAATTCAAAATCCATATGGATTTTGCAAATCCGTGTTCTGGAAACCACAGCTTGTTCTTCCCTGCCAAAATCTAACTGTATTTTACATTCTACTTATTTTTCCCCCACATGGAGTCCTTGACAGGTATTTCTACACAGATGGAAAAGAATAATACTGGAACAGGCCCAAGTTCTCAAGATTTGACTTGCAGACAAATCTGTATCATCTTGCTCAATGACAGATGCTAATTCTCGTTAGGAATTGTTCAACGTTAGCCCCAGTTCTCTTTCCTTCTGCCCACTAGTTTTGATACATTAAGCAAACACAGATTAAGGAGGGGCAACATCTTGGGGTGGAGGACCAATGGCAGTAGCAAAACTACTTTGATGCCCAACACAAAACAGAGGTACTGCCCAAACAAGAGGGCACACTCTGCTTACTCCATGTAGTCTTAGCCACATGGATTTTTAAAAATATATAACATACAGCCTCATCGCTGAATCACCAGCAGCGTGTGGGCCTTCCTGAGAAGAGACAGAGTTCCCTGTTCCAAATATTTTGTGGCAGTTACCACTTAGATGATGAGCCGAGATGGCACACAGACTCCTTTTTCCTCTGACGAGATGCCTACAGATTGAACAGGATTTGCCATGGCACTAAAACGCCACCTTCCTTAAGCTGCGATTCTAAGCACAGAGACACTTGCCTGACCCAGTAAAAACCCCTGGAACTTACTTCTGAGTAAGCAGGCATAGATTTGCACCTTGTCAGGACCGAAGCCCACGATGGGAACGGCTGAGCTACCCATTCAAATCCTGCTACAGGAGGGAGCTGGTGCTCGTGTGGAAGACACCGTGTGCTTGTGCACCCACTAGCCTATGAAGTGCGTGTGGATGTGCGCGCGCGTGTGTCTAGGCAATAAGGTATTGTCCTGCCTTTTCAGAACTGCAGTGCCAGAGGGCGATCTCGTTTTGGACAGGCAGCTGGGCTGCTACGCAGGGCTATATATCTGCCCGGGGAAGATCGTCCAGGAGCTGCCTGCACGGGTCCCACCACCCGGGGTGGCGGGTCGCGTGTGTGTGTGCGCGCATCTCAGCGCCCGCTTCCGCGTCGCCTCCGCCGTTGTTGGCATTTACCTGGCGCCCGGGTGTCCGGCCTGCTCCCTCTCGCTCAGCGCCGCCGCCGTGTAAATCCTCCGGTAGCGCTCGGCCAGGGCCCGGCCCGACAGAAGCAGCTGGTAGCGGCCCCGGCAGCCGCCGCCGCCTCCTGCTCCTCCGCCGGGAGGAGAAGGCAGCCCCGAGGATGTCATGGTCGGCGGCGGCGGCAGCAGGAGCAGCGCCCCGAAGCCCGCCGCGCTCTCGCCGGGGCCCATGGCCACGCACGGCTCGCCGGTGCCGCTGGGGAAGAGGAAGAAGCCCGGGCCACCGGGCTCGGATCCGGCGGCGGCGGCGGCGGAGGAGGAGGCGGCGGCCCCGCTCATCGCTCTCCCCTCCCCGCCCCTGCGCGCTCCGCCCCCGCGGCCGGCCGGGAAGGAAGGAAGGCAGGCGCCCGCTCCTCCTCTTTTTCCCCTCAGCGCCTCAGCGGCCCGGCCAGAGCCAAGCGCGGCGCCGCAGCCAACAGACACACAACCAGGCCGCCCGGCCGGCAGCGCCTGACTGAGGAGAGCTGACTGACTGACAGGCGCGCAGCTCCTCCCCCTTTTGGCGCGAGCGCGCCGAGAGGGAGGGCGGGGCCGCGGGGAAGAGAGCGAGAGGGGAAGAAAGGGGCGGGGTGCGCGCGCGGGCGCGCGTGTCTGTGAGGAAAAGCGAAGCCGGCGTAGGGCGAGGCCGGGCGACGCAAAGGCGCGCGCGCGCGCTCTTCTTTCTTCGCGGGCCGCTTCCTCCCTCTCTATGGTACTTTCCGCTGTAGCGCGTCTCTTTCCGACTGTCAAAACGCTGACATTGTGGTCCGGAGTGCGCCTGCGCGACGTCTCCCTTTTTTTTTTTGAAAAAAAATGTCTTGCCCCACCCGCTTTTTTATTTCCGCCCCCCCCTCCACACACACACATATCTGTAGGTACTGAGAGTCCATGTGCGCATGTCTGTTGCGGTTGAGGAGGGAGCCGTGTGTTTCTCTGAGGGGGTGTCATTCGCTCTGGATTGTTGTTCTTATTTCTCTACCTCCCCCCCCCACCCTCTTTCTCTTGTATCGGCTTCCCGAGAGCGCGTGGAGATGATGTCATAGTAAATTGTGTGTATACACACACACACACACACACACACACACAACACACACACACACAGAGTGTAGATTCTTAAATATTTAGCAGCGGGTGGAGAGAGAGAGGTTTTTGGTTTTTTTTTAAGTATTTCAATTATTATATATTTATTTATACCCCACCTTCCCCTGATGGGAATGAAGGCACCTTACACACACAGGGAGAGAGAGATTTGGTTTATTATATTTCAATTTGTTTATTTGCTTTATTGATTTTAAAAAAGAAAATTACAATCAACCAAAGAAAAAACCATGCCCCTGTATAAACATAGAAAATCTTATTAAAATATGCGTTGGGGGAAAGTTTGGAGTGATAATGAAAAGTGCACTACTCAAAAGAAAATTAGGACTCTTGGATGGGGTGACAGGCAGTCACAACAGAAGTTATGTTGTAAGAAATCAATTTGTCATTTGTAAATTGTAATACATTTCGGTTTATATTTTCTTTTGTTTTTTTGTTGATTGTAATTTTCTTTTTTAAAATCAATAAAGCAAATTAAAAGATTTATTATATTTCTATGCCACTTTTCATTCACATGAATCGCAAAGCAGTTTGCAAACAATGTGACAGTAACAACAGAACAACAGAAATGCAACATAAATCGTATAGAATAACAAATCCTCAGTAAAGCAATTGCAATCTATAAAGCACTACTTGCAGAACTGAAAAGAAAAAGCTAAACAGTACAGTTACAACCAAAGGCATAGGATTCACAAAGTACTACAGCATTCATCTATAAAAACTATATTTAACAACACAGGCGCCAACTCTATGGGGCTGAGGACAGCCAAAATATACTGGGTCAGGGCTGAGGGGCCCAATCCTGAGGAGCCAGGAAGAAGCTGGAAGTAGGCAGTCCTAGCCAATGAAGCCTGGTGAATCTTTAGTTACCAAAAGGAATCACTATGTTAACCCCAGGCTATGAACCAGATTAGATGGAGAACTGCTGTATGATACTTAGCATTAACTGAGGCCTGCAGTTGTGAGAGAACTAAACTTGCAGACGCTTGGTGCAGTGCCTTGTCAGTTGTGGTGCTCACGGGACTGTACAAATGCTTTGACAGCAAACATCTAAATATTAGAACTTCCCCATGCTTTTTTTCTGAGGGTACTCAAGGGTACACAGTACCAGCACCTTTCCCCCCTCAAAGAAAAACACTGGCTAAAAAGTGTGGTACTGTATTTACTGTAACAACATGGTAAGTAGTGGCACCTTTTTTCTAGAAGAAAAGCACTGGAACTTCCACAAACTTATGGTCCAAAAATGGTTACATGAGACTCACCACATGAGGGAAGCGACTGCGACCCAGTCATATAAAATAATGTCGCAGAAATGTATGAAAATATATTCTCATGTGCAGTGCTTTTTTTCCCCCAGGGGAGATGCAGGGGTACGCATACCCCTAAACATTTTGTGAATCCAAGTTTGGCGTCATTGAGGGGAAGTATTTCAATATGAGTAGGAAAATGAGAGTACCCCTAAATATTTTTTGGGGGGGAAAGCACTGCTCATGTGTAGTTTACTTGCTCCTAAAAGTAGGAAGCTGTCAACAGTCAAGGAGATGTGGTATATAATTTTTGGGGAACAAGTTGTGAGAGGAATAAAGGCCCAGAGTTGATTTTTTTGTGCATAAGTAATGAACCAGATGAAGACTCTTTAGCTTTTAGGTCTCAAACCAGTTTAGACTAAAAAGTTACTGCTCTCATTTTAGTTGCAGTTCATTTAAATAATGAATAAAAGCAGATCTATGAAGAGTATGGATACTAGTGTGTGCTGCTTTTTTATTCTGTTCCTTATTTGCTGATTCCAGGAGCCCTGATATTCAAATATGAGTTTTGCCTTGATGACTTTGGCTAGCATGTATTGACATTACATTACCTGATCATATGCATTGGGGTCCATTGGAACATGTTGCCAGATGAGCGCACATAGGATGGCATCTGTATACTTCATGGATGTGTTTGATGTTCCTCCCATGACTAGCAGTGATCATACCGCATGGTGGGTAAGTCTGTATGATCTTGTTGAGAATTTATTTCAACAGGCATGGTCTAACTGGACTCCCTGGCAGGTTCTGAATAAACATCCACAAATTTATTAGTTGAATACATGATAGATAAGGCAAGGATATTTACAATTTTATAACATGCAGAGAACAATATGTGCAAAGAAATCAAAGAGGGGAGCTGAGGGAAGTCCTTGGTTGGGGGGGGAAGGGGAGGAATAATGTAATTGATTACTTGGACTGATAATTTGTTATGTTGAAATTGTTTAATAATTTTTTTAAAAAAACAACCACAAAAAACAGGCATGGTCAATGCACTCTGTAATTGCATCAGTTTGTTTTAAGTCACTTGTGGAATCATACAGATAATTCTGTCAGTTTCAAATGCAAAGTATTAAAAGTGGCAGTAATAATTATTGCTCTTTTAAAAATTCATACGTGCTACTGTCACTTTCTTGCCTGTGTTCTTAATCCCAGCTAAGATGATCATGGTCAAAATTTTGAATATCTCTTCTGCAAATGTTTTTGGGTTACCTCTACCCTAATGTTTCTCATGAATTAGGAAATTGTGTAAATTGAATCATAAAACAAACCTTAAAACATAAAATGATACTCCATGTTGTCTAGGACAGAGTTCCCCTGCTTCTCTTAGTAAGAACCAAAACATTTAATTCTAGTGAGTCTTCTCATGAGCCTAGTAGCATCTGTGCTGTATTGCCATTTGCCTGTTCTGTTGATGACAAAGATATTGCTCAGCAGTGGAGCTAGAGAAAGCAACCTACAGTCCACCTTAAAAACTGGGTTTATGAAGGCTTCTATAATACACTATATAGGAAGATGTGCCTCTGGTTCTATTGAATACAGAGCTAGGAGGAATCTGGTGTTTCTATTTGTATAGCCTACTCTGTCATGCACCAAGCTATCACTCTCATAACTTGTTTTTAAAAATCCACAAAAAACAGCAGGCAAGCAATTAGTCTCATGGTATGGAAAATAGATGTATTGTTATAAAATTACTATTTGATTGCTGTGATATTTTCCAGTTTATGTAAAAGAGGAGATTAAAGGGGCAGCAGAATGACCACTTTAACTTTAACTTTTGAATTTTAAACATTAAACTTAAACTTTAAAATCTCTCAACCATCAGTGGCCAAGCATGCCAGACACATCTATTGTTAGGGAAATGATAGGTGAATGGCTCAGAATGGCTAGAAAATAGCATGAGATACCTCTGGAAGGTGAGACTCAGTCCCCATCCCCCCACCCTAAAGCAAGGAAACAACCTAGGGAGTGTGTATGTCAGAGAACGTATGGGGGAACAAAAAAGATGTACATACATAGAAAGGTGGGATGCGGGTGGCGCTGTGGGTTAAACCACAGAGCCTAGGACTTGCCGATAAGAAGGTTGGCGGTTCGAATCCCCGCAATGTGGTGAGCTCCCGTTGCTCGGTCCCTGCTCCTGCCAACCTAGCAATTCGGAAGCATGTCAAAGTGCAAGTAGATAAATAGGTACCGCTGTGGCGGGAAGGTAAACGGCATTTCCGTGCACTGCTCTGGTTCGCCAGAAGTGGCTTAGTCATGCTGGCCACATGACCCGGAAGCTGTATGCCAGCTCCCTCGGCCATTAAAGCGAGATGAGCGCCGTAACCTCAGTCGGCCACGATTGGACCTAATGGTCAGGGGTCCCTTTACCTTTACATAGAAAGGCAAAAGCACAGAGCTGAGCTGTAAGCTGAAGGCATCTAGGGGTGCCTCTCTGTAGAACTGAAAGTGAGGAAACAGATCTGCTATACTGTCTGCCTTCAACTGTTCTCAATTGTAAATAACCCAAATATTACAAGTACACCATAACTTCCAGACTCTGCTATTGTTTTGCAGCAAAAACAATAGTTTCATAACACCTGAAAGACTAACAGATTTTTATGGTGTTAGCTTTCATGGACTACAGTCCACTTTATCAGAAATTGAAATTGCCCAAAGTCTCCGGTGATCTCTCCTTCCAAAGTAAGCTAAACCCAGCTAGCACTGTTTCATGAATGTCACACCATTCAGGGAAGTGGTGAACCCTATTCGGTGTTTTGTTTCATTGGTTCCATGGTTATTCTTTTCTGAACATTGCTCTGTTCACCAGTCCCCACCACAGCTGGAACTTCATCTTACCGTCTTCCTCTTTTGAAAGAAGGAACTAATTGCGTGGTGTGGATTTTGGTTGTAAATTTCAAAGCTACATATGCAATGTTTATTTTAAGGTTGTGGAGAATGAGCTGACAAGCGTCAAAGTGAATTTCCAGTGTGTAAATTTGTCAAAATTCCTAAGTTTAAGCAAAATAGGAAAGGGAGTTGATGAACCTGCATAAAACTTAACTGTCCCTTCTTCAACTGGGCATCGGTCTGGCAGAATTCTGGACCGTCCAAAGATTTTTCAACATATTTTGAGGTTGCCAGTTCTATACAGCATGCCTATCTTGTAAAATCACATCCTATCTTTAAGATAGTTTGGGAAATGCAGGCATATTTGTTTTAATGAAGTTAACTCTCTTTCTACCTATTGCTGTGCAGTGGAGTGGACTTCTGCATAAAAATGCAATTATGCTTTATGGCTACTATTTACAGAAATAGCAAGGTGGTATATAAATGTAAGATATAATCAGAATAAGAATAATTCAGTTGTATATTTCTTAATAAGTATGTTTACTTATTCAGTCTAAACCACTGAGCCTAGGGCTTGCCGATCAGAGGGTTGGCTGTTCGAATCCCTGCGACGGGGTGAGCTCCCGTTGCTCGGTCCCTGCTCCTGCCACCTAGCAGTTCGAAAGCACGTCAAAGTGCAAGTAGATAAATAGGTACTGCTCCAGCAGGAAGTGCACTCCTCTGGTTCACCAGAAGCAGTTTAGTCACGCTGGCCACATGACCCGGAAGCTGTCTGCGGACAAATGCCGGCTCCCTCGGCCAGTAAAACAAGATTAGCGCTGCAACCCCGGAGTCGTTTGCAACTGGGCTTAACTGTCAGGGGTCCCTTTACCTTTACCTATGTTTAGGATTGCAGCCTAAATATAACCCTACCTTCAGATATCTTGCAAAGATGCATGAAGTCCATACTATTAGTAAAGGTAAAATGTAAAGGACCCCCCTGGACAGCTAACTCCAGTCAAAGGTGACTGTTTTGGTGCTGCGCTCATCTTGCTCCAGGCTGAGGGAGCCGGCATTGGTCCACAGACAGCTTTCCGGGTCATGAGGCCAGCATTATTAAACCGCTACTGGCACACGGCGGACCATGATGAGTGCCAGAGCACATGGAAACGCTGTTTATCTTCCCGCCACAGCAGTACATATTTATCTACTTGCACTGATATGCTCTCAAACTGCTAGGTTGCAGAAGCTGGGTCAGAGCAAAGTGCACTCACCCCGTTGCGCGGATTCGAACCACCGACCTTCCGATCAGCAAGCCCAAGTGGCTCACTGTGGTAGCTCAAACTGAACAATACATCAGGACTGAGCTATGAATCTCTTCTCTGCCCAGAACGTGCTAGCTGGCTCTTGGTGGCCTCTCATTCCCTCAGTCCCACCCCTTTGGCCTGCAATAAAGAGATAACTCTTCCTTGCAGAAAGATGCACGTTTGCTAACAATATAATGCATGTGAAATAACTGAACACTTGCAAGCTAAACACTATATAAACACTAGGCATTATTATGGGTTGTTGAAGTGTCTTGCTGATAAGATTGTTGGCTAAAATCATGAGTTTTGTGTGATCGCTGCCAGCTTGATAAAGTCTGGCCTCATCAAGCATAAACAGTGAGTCAATTTGGAATGTGCTCTTAGCGCCTGCTGCTTTTGACACAAAGGCAGAGTATTTTGCAGGATTAAATTGTCATGATCCAAAGATCTGCTGAGCCACGCAAACAGAGGATATTGAATGACGTCACCATCCCTAGAAGGCTCCAGCCATGCCCCAGATCCTGTTAACCTTTTATCTACTCTGCACTTAGCACCAGACAATGTATTTAAACCACCCTTCTTTCTGGTACAAGTTCATATATGTCTTTCAAAATAAATCTTTCCCTACTTAATTTACTGTAGTGCATGTTTGCCAGGTGTTAGAATGGCTAATAAGGTTGCTAGTGTTGTAACTATACTTGTCTTCCCTGCACCCCTGGCAGTTTAATTTATTAACTGTGAGAGACTCTGAAGGCAAGCTGCATCGTCTGCCTCGTGGAATACTTTCTTCATAAACGAAATCAATATGAGCCTTTGCTACTGCTGTTAATTCATAACGTAAGTTTTTCTATACTGCTTTCTTTTTGGGTTTTTTGAAGCAGCTTATAAAACAATAAGTACTAAAATATGCACATTGACGCAGCGGGTAGGAGGAGTTCAGTGGTGGGGAACGGCCAGCCCATGGCCTGAATTAGGCCCGACAGTGGTTCCAGTTTGGCCCTTGAAGCTGGTTCCCACAACCACATCTAGCTGTCTTGTATCATATGTGATGTCGGGTGTGGGGCAGGTAAGACTCGTCCAAAAAGGAACAATCAGAAACTTAAAAGTCAAAATAAAAAAATTCCTTCCAGGAGCACCTTAAAGACCAACTAAGTTAGTTCTTGGTATGAGCTTTCGTGTGCATGCACACTTCTTCAGATACACAGTGTATCTGCACTGTGTATATGCACACTTCTTCAGATATACAGTGTATCTGAAGAAGTGTGCATGCACACGAAAGCTCATACCAAGAACTAACTTAGTTGGTCTTTAAGGTGCTACTGGAAGGAATTTTTTTATTTTGACTATGGCAGACCAACACGGCTACCTATCTGCAACTGAAACTTAAAAGTGCGATCCAAATGGCTGAGGGAGGAGAGAAGGGAGGCTCCCTTCCTCTGAGGGAAAAGGACCAGAGGAGGCGTTGCTGAATGAAACTAAAAAGAGAGATAGAAGGTGCTTTTAAAAAAGAAAATGAAATGGATATAATGGAAGGAATGAGTGAAAGTGGTCGTTTGGGCAGAGGGGATAAGATACATTAAGTGTGAAAAGTGGAGGAGAAATCATAGCAGATGACTAAGAACAGTTTGAGAAGCATGGGGGGCATAAAATAAAAAGCTTCCCAATAGCTTCTGGATTAGTTACCCCCTCCCCCAAAAAAGGATTTGAGTCAGAATGCTTCCACAGCCATTGTCTATATTTAACAGGAATTCTGTAATTCTACAGGCAGCTTCCCACAACAAGTAAACGACTAAGAATTTCTGCATGATTTATCCATAAAATGTACTGTGTTCTCTCACTACACCATACCACCTAAATAACACATCTCTTAAGCATGGTCTTTAACAGCCGCAATTGGGCAGCATTTTGGAGCTTGTGTGAACATGGAAATTCCTTAACACAGCAAGTTAAATGGGAAGGGTTTTTTGTTAATTGAATTCACTTCTATGGGATGTGCTTTGGCAGAACAACTGAGTTTCACAGAAAGTGACTCATCAGGCATAACCTGTCACTTTTACTGCCTTTCTCAAAAAGGTTTACTTGAAGTGCAATGTCAGTTGCGGAAGATCTCCTTGCTAAGATCTGTAACCTTTGCCTCTATTTTAAAAGAATCTCACTCCTTCTGAATAAAACCTACTACAGGTCACCCAGTGCCTGCCACTCCAGTGGGAGAGTTAACATGCTCAAATCTTTTGTCTTGTAATCATCACCATCCAACGTTTCTTTTTTCTTTTTTATGTGCAATGTTGGGTTTTGAAGGAGTGCAGATCATCCTTAAAAATTCCTCCCTCCGTGGTTCTCTCCCACTCCAGCACTTCATGCCTATTCACAACCACAATACACCGTTTTTGTGGTGCCACGTTTAGGACTGCATAATTACAGCCAAGTAAGGGCACATGGTGAATGGTGATATCATAGTATTACATAGTCAGTCAGATTTGGCTGTGTGATGTCACCGAGGAGGGAACTGCCCTTCCATTGCACTTAGTTTGAGTGGGGGTGAGTGAGGCGGGTGGAATCTACCTGTGCTACCCTCATAACTGAGCAATGTCACCTGTTGTGCTGTACTTCTCACCAGCACAGCCTGGTAAGATTCCTCCCCACATTTCCATTCTCACAGGGCTCGGAACAATGGCAGACTTTGGGCGCTCAAATCAGTGGTGCCCGGTGCAATGCTAAAATCTGGCACCTTCCACCTCTCACAGTCTGTTCTCCAGCATTGCAGTGGCGCCCCCTGCAGCTCGGTGCCCAGTGCAGCCAAACCGGTCATGCTACCCTAAAACCGCCTCTGCTCAGAATATTGATGGAAATGCATGTTCATTTAGGCATTCTGCTGGGGAAAAAATGCACTCTGGATGGAAACGATTCATATTCAGACATGGATGTCACCCATTCTCAGTGCACTACTTGCAATGGGTTTCGCATTCAGGTTCACTTTCGGCAGTACATTTACATTGCCCTGAATAGTAGTTCTTTTGGAAATGCCATGAAATGCATGGCTCTCCCACCACAGTTCAGTTCTATTTAAGCGGTTCCCTTTGGCTGGATCATGCCCTAGCTTTGAAACAAATACAAAACAAGCTCGTGAATGGCATATCCAAATCTTGCTTACTAATTTCACAAGCAAAGCTTTGAAAGCATAATGTAATAATCAGAAAGTCTAAGTTTCCTTAGGCTTAACAAGGAGGAGAAAATTTGCGAAGTTGTGCAAAAGACAGAGGGGGTTTTGCCCTGCCGGACTTGAGACTTTATTATGAATCGGCAGCTTTTTGCTGGCTGAAACAATGGCTACTTCTTGAGAACACAGACATTTTGGATCTGGAAGGGTATGACAATAGATTTGGCTGGCATGCATACATATGGTATGACAAGGTAAAATCGCATAAAGGCTTTAAAAACCATATTGTTAGGAAAGCACTGTATAACGTCTGGATAAGATATAAGGATTTGCTGGAAAGTAAAACTCCCAGGTGGTTATCACCAACGGAGGCTAATGAGTCAAAAAAACTAAATATGGAGTCCAAATGGCCAAAGTACTGTGAAATTTTAGAACAAGATGGTGAAAGAGTTAAATTGCAGAGTTTTGACAAATTAAAGTCTAAGGTACGAGATTGGTTTCACTACCGTCAGATAAATGAGGTATTTAAACAGGACAGGAAAATAGGTTTCCAGATGGAGAGGTCGAAAATAGAGACAGAATTGTTAGAACCCAGTACTAAGAACTTGTCGAGAATGTACAATTTGCTGCTGAAGTGGAATACACAAGATGAAACAGTAAAATCAGCTATGATCAAATGGGCACAAGACATAGGTCATGACATAATGTTTGATGATTGGGAACAGTTGTGGAATACAGGTATTAAGTTTACAGCTTGTAATGCATTGAGAGAGAATATAATGAAAATGATCTATAGATGGTACATGACCCCAGTCAAACTTGCAAAAATCTATCATTTGCCCAGCAACAAATGTTGGAAATGTAATGAGACTGAAGGTACTTTCTATCACCTTTGGTGGACCTGCCCGAAGGTAAAGGCCTACTGGGAAATGATCTATAATGAAATTAAAAAAGTCCTTAAATGGACATTTTTGAAAAAACCAGAGGCCTTTCTCCTGGGCATGGTGGGCCAATTGGTGCCAAGGAAGGACAGAACATTTTTTATGTATGCTACTACAGCGGCAAGAATTCTTCTGGCAAAGTACTGGAAGACGCAACAGCTACCCACTCTGGAAGAATGGCAAGCGAAGGTGATCGAGTACATGGGAATGGCAGAGATGACCGGCAGAATCCGTGACCAGGGGAGTGAGACGGTGGAAGAAGATTGGAAGAAATTTAAAAAATATCTTAAAGACTGTTGTAAGATTGATGATGGCTGAGATGTTATGGTTATAAGAAATAGAGATTGCAGCTGTAAATCATAACTTTAAAGAATGTAAAATGAAAATGAGCGAATTAATTGAACTAAGGGTTGCTGAGAAAGGGCTAACATAAGGATGCAGAAAAAGGGAGGTATGAGGAAGTCCACGAAATAAGGTGTATGAAAATAAGTTTAAGAAATTATATGTGTTTATTTGTTTGTATGTTTTGTATTGTTTTGTTTTATTATTTGTTTTATATATGTTTGGAAAATTAATAAAAATTATTATAAAAAAAAGAAAAAGAAAATTTGCGAAGTTGGAGGGGTTACCTCAGGCTACAAGGCTGAGTAGTCCCTTATCTTGTGTCCCTTTAGGCTTCATTAACACAGTCCTCCTTGCGCTGTATCTCTTTCCCGCAGGAGTAGGCTCTTGGCATCAAAGTCACAAGTATTTTTCTTGTTTGGAGATAGTTTAACCCCCTTTCTGCCAGCTATGAGACACATTCCTCAACACACCCTTTGACTCTTACTAGATTTTAGAGAGAGAATATATTCGCCTTGAGATTGAAATTCAGTTCTGCCACAGATGCCACCAGTGAACACTGTAAATGGTTTATATAAATTCTACAGGCCAAATCTGTGTCTGTGCTAAGAAGAGCAGAAGCCACATCACAGTTGGGTTTGCCAGCTCAAATTGTCAAGGGTTTAGAGGTGTGTACATATGGTAATTTAAAGTGAATTCCAGGGGTGCCCTGTGAATATTTTCCGTGCTGTCCGCATGACATCTCTGTTACAGAAATGAGTTTAACATGCATTAAATGTAATGGTTTTTTTTAAAAAAATTAATATTTATTGAATTTTAAAGGGTTACAAAAAGAAAAAAAGAAAAAACAGCATATTTAAGAAATACAAAACATCACATCACAATAATAAAAAAAGAAACAAGAAAAAGAAAAAAAGAAAAAATACAATGAATCTTCCCATAACTTATCTTTCATTTGCTTATTTCCTTGACCTCCTCACACCTCCCTTTTTTGTATTCTAGTTCAATTAGCTATTTCAGCAAATCCTTTCCATCTTTTCCAGTTTTTGTCCTCCATTTTATCTTAATATAATGTAACTTTACGTTCCCTCCTTCACCATTTAGCAATCTATTTTTCCTTAATCCTTTATAGCATTTCTGCTAAAATCGCATTATTTCATTCCAACATCCTTCTAACATTCCTTAATTTTACAATGTTTCTGTAAATAAACTTTAAATTTCTTCCAATCTTCTTCCACCAACTCTTCTCCCTAGTCTTGGATTCTGCCAGTCATTTCCGCCATTTCCATGTAGTCCATTAGTTGCATCTGCCATTCTTCCAGGGTGGGTAGATCTTGTGTCTTTCAGTACTTTGCGATGAGTATTCTTGCTGCTGTTGTGGCATACATAAAAAAAGTTCTATCCTTTTTTGGCACCAATTGGCCGACCATGCCCAGGAGAAAGGCCTCTGGTTTCTTCAGAAAGGTATATTTAAATACCTTTTTCATTTCATTGTAAATCATCTCCCAGAATGTCTTAATCCTTGGGCATGTCCACCAAAGGTGAATAAATGTGCCTTCGGTCTCTTTACATTTCCAACATTTATTATCGGGCAAATGATATATTTTTGCAAGCTTGACTGGTGTCATGTACCACCTGTAGATCATTTTCATTATA